TGCCCAAATTGCTCCTCTTGCTCTCACCAGCCTCCCTTGTCCAGTCAACTCCTACTCATCCTTCAGACCTCACTGTAAAAGTCAGTTCCCAGGGAAAGCTCTCTCTGGTTGACCCCAACTAAATCAGCCCCCTGGGTTAGATGCACTTGCTTGTATCCAATGTGTGTCACCCCTGCTAGCCCATAAATTCACAAGCTCATGTGCTCACGTTGGCACATTTATAGTCCATGACAGAGTGAAAACCACTGGAATTGAGGATGGAGCGCTGATGGGGGGGAAGAAGCCCAAGCCTTTGTCTCAGCTTTGCTACAAACTTTGTGTGACCTTGGGCAAGCTCATTTCCCCTCTCTGGACTGTGTCCAGTGGGAGAGGTATGGAGGCCCCGTGTCATCCAAGCATTCACTTACTCAGGCATTCATCCATTCATTCACTGATTTTATTCATTCAGTCAGTCATTTGCTCATTGAAGCTTATGGAGCCTGTCCTTTGTGTCAGGACGCTGGGGATTCAGAACGAAATCAAAAGCAAGAGTTCATAGCAGAGTGGGCGAGACAAACATATGCCACTCAGTATATGTCCAGGCACATGTATACGTGCACTAAAGAGGTCAGCAGCCGCTGTGGGAGTCCAGAGGAGGTAGCAATTACTCAGATCTAGGAAGCCTTTTCAGAGAAAGTGACCTTGAAGGGTTGAGAATAGAGAAAGAGAAATGCTGACCAGGGACCTGCCTTTCAGGTTTGTTGGGTGTCTGCAGGCTTTTTGGGGAACTGCCTCTTAGTTCCACAATTCTCACCTGGCCTTCAGCAAGTCTTGTTCTTCTAGTCCTGCCCCTTCAAAGCTGCATCTCCGGGGCTGCCTGAGGATCTTTCTAAATGACTTCCTGTTGCCTAAGATTAAGCTCAAGTGCTTCAGGTTGGTAGTCAGGTTCTTCTCACCCGGCCTCATCTTCCTCTTCCAGCTTCTTTGCCTGTTGCTCCCCTACGCAACGCCACGTTTGTTTCAGCCATGTCAAACTATGCGAATGCCATGTCCTCTGCATTGGTGCCTTTGCTAATACTGTTCCTTCTGCCTAGAATACTCTTTCTCGTCTAGAAAGCCTTCCTGCTCAACATGCTGTAGTTAGCAACTTCCTCTTCTGTGCTTCCATTATACTTTATATATCATCTCAATGACTGCACTTACCACTTGGTACTGAAATTATCCGTGAACTCCTTGCAGTCAGGGATTCTATCTGCATGACTTCAGTAAATGTAGTGTCCAGACTGGGCATCAGGTTTGATGGGTGTTTGACTTAACGAGTAAGTGAATGGAAGAAAGTGGACTCTGTTAAAAGGAAGGGAATAGATTTAATTTAGTTAAGTTTGAGGCCTAGAAAGACCAATCTGCCCAACATTGCTCTTATTTACCCAATGCATCACACCCATGAGATCTGGAGAATGAGGAGGGAGGAGGAAGAGGAGGCAAAACGGATTGGGGGCAGGTTTGGCTTTTTGGTCGTGCAAACTGAAATTCTGATTACAGTACCCAACATGGTGCTAAAACACCATGCCATCCCTAGCTGTTAAAACACCAGCCATCCCTGAACCAAACAGATCTAAGTCCCTGCTGTTCATCTCTCCAACTCCTAATAATCCTTTAGGACTTTTGTGAAGCCCGCTCTGACCTTGTCCACTAGGCCCTGCAGAGTTGGTCACTCTGTTACCAGTTGACCTCGATCTTTCTTCTGTCATTGCACTATACTGTATTTGACCAATTTATAATCCATGTTCCTTAAATTTAGATACATGTTTCTCTAGGGGATATATAACACTATATAAATATTATAATAATTTAAGTGATTAAAAATATTTTTATGTTGAAACAAATACAGCCATATTATGGGATAGAATCCAAAATAATACAAAAATTTTTAGAATGAAATAGGACATATAAAAGTAATGATAGGTAGCTTTTATTGATGGCTCACTATACCCAAGGCACTATGCTAAACACTTCACATGCCTGACTTTGAATATTTTGCAAGCAGCAGGCTATTTCAGTTCTCTGCCACATGCCTACGGGTGAGTGTTCCAGTTTTCCTAGCATTTGTGGCAGGTGGGTGGAAAAGTCTGAGAAGCGTTGTTTACTTCAGGTCTGTATTTCCAGTGCCTAGTAATCTGCCTGCTGCAGACGTGAACCTCAGTAAAGGCTTGTGGAAAGAATTGACCCTGCTCTCTCTGCTGGAATATCCTTTCTTTTTCCCTGCCTGGTGAACTCTTATTGGTCCTTCAGTACCCAAGTTAACTGTCACCTCCACTGTGAAATTTGACTATCTTCTCTGGCTCCACCAGCCCCTGGACTTCCCTCAGACCTAGCACTGAGCAACTGCATTATCACTCTTTGTTTACTTACTGGACTCCCCCATAAGGAGTTGGCAGCTCCTTTGGTGCTAAGTCTGGGTTTGATTTCCCAGCATCCAGCAGACGGCTTGACACAGAGAAGCCCTCAATGAACATTTGTTGAGTGAATGAACTAATAAACTTAGTTAATATTCAGAGCTGACCCCCCAAAGAAGAACTGATTCTGCGTTGTCTCTATAGGCCCATTTTCTTAATGTGTGTAGTTGGTTGAATGACGGTCCCCCCAAAATGAGCCCATGCTCTAACCCCGGGAACCTATGAACATGACCTTGTTTGGAAAAAGGGTCTTTGCAATTAAGAATCTCAAAATGAGATCTGGATTAGCTGGGTAGGCCCTAAATCCAATGACAACTGTCCCTATATAAGAAAGAAGAGAAGACACAGGAGGAAGAGAAGGCCGTGTGACGATGGAGGCAGAGATTAAAGCTACACAGTCACAAACCGAGAAATGCCTGGAGCCACCAGAAGATGACCAAGGCAAGGAAGGATTCTCCCTTAGAGTCCTCTGAGAGTGCAGCCCTACCGAAACCTTGATTTTGGGCTTCTGGCCTCTAGAACTGTGAAAGAATAAATTTCTCTTGTTTTGAGCTGCCCAGTTGGTGGTAATTTGATACAGCAGCCTCAGGAGACTAATATAGCTTAGAAACAGAAAAGTGTTTTCTGTGAAATTCCCCCAGATCTTGGCACTATACAAGTTGAACCAGATGAGATTTGGGATTTCCCAACTACTCCCTTCTCAACAAACACCTGACCACACACCCTAGGCTCTAGCCATGAGGAACCACTCAGTGTTTCAGAATAGGAGACAGTGTGACATCTCCGTTAGCCAGCACTGGGGTCAGATCCAAAGTATCTTCAGGCTTCTGGACACCCTGGAAAGATAGTATATTTACCTTTAAAAAAAATACTTTTAGGAACCAGCCCGGAGGCATAGTGGTTAAGTTCGTGTGCTCTGCTGCGGCAGCCCAGGGTTTACAGGTTCAGATCCTGGGTGCAGACCTATGCACCACTTATCAAGCCATGCTATGACAGGCGTCCCACATATAAAGTAGAGGATGATCAGCACGGATGTTAGCCCAGAGCCAATCTTCCTCAGCTAAAAGAGGAGGATTGGCAATGGATGTCAGCTCAGGGCTAATCTTCCTCACCAAAAAAATATATATATTTTTAGTGCAATTATTATGTGCCAGGTCCTGCACTGGGCACTTTACAAATGCTGACTGACTTAATCCCTGCAACAACTCTATCACTATTTTACAGATGGGGACACTAAAGCTGAGAGAGGGAAACTGGCTTGCCCAGGAACACGTAACTAGAAGGTGGCAGAGCCAAGATTCCAAAAGGGCCCAATTCCTGTTGTGTCTGACTCTAAAACACTGTGTTGTCTCTGCTACATCAGTCCAGGTGGTGGAGAAATTCACTGTCTGGGGGAGACAACATTACCCTGCAGAATGACTCAGTGCTGTTTATTACAGAAGCAATTGCTATAGATGCTATCTATCATTATGATCAAGGAAGTTTTCATGGAAGAGGTGGCATTTGAGCTGGGCCTTCACTTCAAAAAGACATATCCCAATTCTCTGTCAGGCACTGGGAATCCAGAAACGAATCAGACAAGATCCTTTTGCTTGAGGAATTCACAGTATGTATGTGTGTGTGTGTTTATGGGAGGAGTGTGTGTGCCTGCATGTGTGTGTGATACACTTATTAAAAGACAAAGCAATAGAATAATCAGGAATATGGTAGAGGCAAGGTTCCTAACTCAGATTCCCAGAGTGAATCCGAGAAATATTTTGGAAGACGGGACCCCAGCCCCAGATGAGATTTGATGAGTAAGTAAGCATTAGCCAGGAGGAGAAAAGTAGCAAAGGCTTTCTAGGGACAGCAGAAGGAACCCACTCGTAGAGAGCGTCCTGGCTGCCTGACATACCGTGGAGCTCAGCATACTAGTTAGTGGAGTGAGACGAGGGGCGTGGAGTTGTGGGTCGGAGTTGGCCGTGGAAGAGCTGGTGGGACTGCCCGACAGATTTCTGGTCTCAGTGCGTCCTGTGTGGTGGCTTTCTGCCGAACCATAAAGGATTCCTTTCCAATCTCGGCACGTTGACGGGAACACCTCAGGAAAAGACTGCTCAGGGAGCCAGCAACTGCACACCAGCCATCGCGACCCAGCTGGCGCTGAGGGTCCCCGCCCTCCTCTGGAGGCCGGTTACCACGGCAACTAGGTTAGGGCGGAAGTGGCTCCGACTGACTCTCACTAATCAGGTGACTCGCCTGCCTCCTGCACGTGACACCAGAGCCCAAGCGCGCTCTCTACCTAATCAGACCCCGCCCCTCTTTCCCTTTACTGACAACTGACAGCGACCTAGAGCAATGGCCCTTGCGGCTCCACCAGGAGACCCGCCCCGTGGTAGTGAAAGAACCAATTAGACTAGGAAAAAAAGAAGCAACGCCCCAGGTGTCACCCGGCTTGACAGACGCAATTTAGGCCATCCCCCGGTTCCTCCGCCCCCAGCCCATTCCGGCCGGCGATGGACAGACCTTCTACCCAATAGCGCGTCCGTCATCTGTGGTTGGGTCCCGCCCCTGTGGGAGCTGAACCAATGAGCAAGCCAGGTCTCGGCGGGCCGGTGGGGGTTGCACTGCGGTAATATGGCTCTTCCTTAGCCAGCGGCGGCGGCGGCGGCGGCGGCGGCGGCGGCGGCGGGCGGAGGTGGGGTAGAGCAGTCGTGCCCCTCGGGTGGCGGGTGTCTGGGCTGCAGGGGCTCGGCGGGTCGCGGCTAGGCGGTGGTGGCGGATGCCGGAGGAGCGCCGGCTCCGCCGCGTGGCGGCTCCTGGGTCAGGATGAGCGCCTCAGGGTCGGTCGGGGGCCCGGTCCCCGCGCCGCCCCCGGGCCCGGCCGCCGCGCTGCCTCCCGGCTCTGCCGCGCGGGCCCTGCATGTGGAGCTGCCGTCTCAGCAGGTAAGCCCGCGGGCTCGGGGCGCTCGGAGGGGCCGGGAGGAGGCCCGGGAGGAGAGCCGTGGGCGGCGGGCTGACCCGGTGCCAGCCGGGAGACGCGGACAAGTGGCCAGGGGGAGCTCGGGGCACTGAGGAGGGCGGTCCGCGGGTCTTGTGAGGGGAGGGAGCCAGTGATGGCCGAGCCTCTGGGAGGTCCCCGAGTCCCTGGAGAAATCCCGTTACTGGAGATGGGCTGTAAGGAGACACGGAGAGACCCAGTGAAACTCACGGGGGCCGGGCCGAGTCCGCTTCGCCCCCTGTAGGGAGCTGGGGATTCCCTTGCACAGACCCCTCTCCCTTCCCCCCATCCCTCCGGGGAAGGGACCCGGGCAAGCCCTGGTGTCCCACGAGAGACAGGGAAAGCGCTTGTCCTTTCTCAGCCCACTTGCGGAGAAGCCACTTGGTCCTCTTTCCTCCGGGAGAAGTGAGGAGTCTTCAGGGTTTCTAGCATTTCCTTGTAATCTCTCCTTATTATGAAGTATTCCCCTCGACTTCTCAAGAGAAATCCTTGGGGACTTGGGATTTCCTTTCTAATTCTCAGACCCCCAAGGACCTCCTAATTTCAGCAAGTTAGGAGGTGCTTTTCTACTTCATTCCCTCAAATGACTATCTGTGGAAGGAGGATTTGATGTATGTATTCATGTCTTGCCCCATCCTTCAGCAACGGCTTTGAGGGCTTCTTGGATCCACGATGTTGGGGGGTAATAAAGAGAGAACGTAGAGTACTTCTTCCCTCTTTCTCTCCCTTGCCCTCCTTCTCTCCCCCAAGAGGAGACTTTGCAGCAACGTGAGCATTAAAGAACCTTTCACCCTTTCTTTATTCCTCCTTCCAAGAAGAGGACCTAGGAAAAACTGTCAGTTACGGAGAGTTTACCACGTTAGGTTTGTGGGAAGTGCTCAAGGGCCGGTAGTTCATTTAATCCTCACAACTCTATGAGATAGCTATTTTTATTATTCCCCATTTCGTAGTTCAGGAAACTGAGGCTTCAAGATGTAAAATCACTCATCCATAGCCTTGCCAGTTAGTAAGTGATGCGGCTGGGTTTCAGAATCCAGCGTCTGACTCTGTAGACCCTGCACGTGGTTGTGTACTTGAGACTTGAGCAACTGCCTTCACACAGGACAGAGCACGTTCCTTCATACCCTTCCTCCGACTTTCGATCCCTGCCTAGTACTTAGGGAAGATTCATAAAGAAGAAAGCAGAGGTTGGGGGCAGAGGTGGATGGGAAATGGGATGGATTTGAATACAGGCAAGTAGGGAGGGTGCTAAAGGGAAGAGGGGAGTTGGAGAGGATAGCTACAATGGTGGCCATTGAGCTGAATTGTTTGCAGAAGCAAGGGCTTTTTGTGTGGTAGAGAAGGATTTAAAAGACTGGGATAGCATGTGCCCCGGTTTTGTGGTGCTGTTGGGAAGGGAGTTTGCGGAAAATATTAGGAGTTTGAGGGTAGTGAGGTTTGGGTTGTATTTATGATGTGCTGGGAGAGAGTAAAAAGTCTGGTGGGGGAGACTAGCCTCTGGAATGAGCCTTAATGTGATTTTTCCTGGTGTGTGTGTGTGTGTGTGTGTGTGTATGTATGTATGTATGTAGGTGGATTGTGAGGGTGGATACTGGGAGAGGCAATAGTGGGCACTGTTAACAAGCATCCTGGAGAAATCTTAAGGAGTCAAGAGCCAAGAGGGGTTTAGTTTGGGCAAGCTGTGGGACAATGTGGGATTAGATAAGAGAAAGCGTAATTTGTTTCATAGAGCCTGTTCTCTGATAACAGTTCACAGTTTAACATTGGGGGAAATAATCCAAACAAACTGTCCGTGGAATAAATTCCACTGCATTTGTAAGCGTTTGTCAAATTTTTGGATTTGTGCCGAGGGATATATAGTGGCTTAAGTGTACGGCTGAATGGTGTATGAGCGCTGAGTATGTTATTTACAGCTTTCTGGGGGTGTCATCTTTCTTGAATTCTTGGAAGGCAGGCAGCCTATATGACAAAAGCACTTTTACTTTTGCTGTTGACATTAATTTAGCTTTCTGAGTGAAAATGCTCAGGTTTTTAGGATATAAATATATAACATTTAAAAAAATAAACAGTTTTGTTAGTGTTATCTGTATACAGTAAAGTGTACTGATTATTAGTACACAGCTTGATGAATTTTCACCAAGTGAACACAGTTATATAACTGCTACTCTGATTAAGAAATACAAAATTATTAGCATCCCAGAAGTCCCCCTTATGTTCTCTCCCATCTCTACCTTTCCTTTCTCTCCAAAGGAACCACTATTCTGACTTGTAACATAAAAGATCAGTTTTTGCTTGTTCTTGAACTGTATATAAATGAAATCATGCAAAATGTATTCTTTTGTGTTGGGTTTCTTTTGCTCAATATGATTTGTGAGAGTCATAGAATGTGTGTGTGTATAAAACTTTTTTCTTTTAGCATTAATTCATTGTCTTTTTTTTGCCTTTGTCATTTGCAAAATTTCAAAGGTTTAGCGAAATTGGAAATCCCATTAATAACTGTCTTTTAAATAACACTTTGAAAATTGTGTTATTTCAATAGATCCCATGCTATTTGATAAGGTTCAATGTTTCTAAACAAATAAACCCTTTTGATTTAGGATTTCTATGATAAAGTTGATTATTTCAAAGTATAGGTTCAGTGGTTCCCCCAGCCTATTTCTAAGGTAGGGTTTCTTAATCTCAGCACTGTTGATGTTTTGGGTGGGTAAGTGGATCTATAAGATGTTTAGCCACATGCATGGCCTCTACCCACAATATACCAGCAGTACCTGCCGGTCTGGCAATCAAAAATGACTTCAGATGTTGCCAAATGTCCCTTAAGGGGCAACATTACTCCTGGTTGAGAACCACTGTTATAAGGTATATTTTCATTTTAGGATAGAGGAAGTCCCTGCTATTATCTACTCATTTATTCCAGTCTTCATTAAGTCCTATTGGTTCTAGTGGCTGTAATGTTTAAAATAATAATTTACTATATATTAGTTCCACAAGTATTGGACTCCCCCCTCCCTCTGCCTCCAGAAAAAGACTTATTTTGTTTTCGCTCAAAGAAAACTAACAAAATTATGTATAAGACCTAACTTATTTTTGTCTTATTTTAATCCACTTAATTTAAGAAAGTTTAGTTAAGACTACATAACTCCTGAACCTTTGCATGTGTGAGTACGCTACGTGGCTTTGTCGAATGGGACAATTACTTAATCTTTGTCTCCTTTTGCTTCTGCATGGTTTTACTTTAACTGTAATTTAAGCATGAACCAGTTACACATTTTGAAGACTGTTTTGCTCTTTAATTTTTGGTTGAGGCTTGTAATTAACTAGTGAATGTAAGCTCATCTGAGGATAACTTCCTTCACATCCTTAGATTTAGGAGTCTTGAAATAAAACTTTGTGTTTTGTGGTAGAGGCATTTAATATGTCATTAAAAGTTTAATTGAGAGCATTTCTTTCCTCCCCAGAGGCTTCCTCACTTGAGTATAACCTAGCTATGTTTCTCAGATCCTCCAAGCTGGGGAGGCTTTTTAGAGGAGTTTTTTTTTTTTTCGTGAGGAAGATCAGCCCTGAGCTAACATCCATGCTAATCCTCCTCTTTTTGCTGAGGAAGACTGGCTCTGAGCTAACATCTATTGCCAATCCTCCTCCTTTTTTTTCCCCCCAAAGCCCCAGTAGATAGTTGTATGTCATAGTTGCACATCCTTCTAGTTGTGGTATGTGGGACACGGCCTGCATGGCCGGAGAAGCGGTGCCTCGGGGGCGCGCCTGGGATCCGAACCCGGGCTGCCAGTAGCGGAGCGCGCACACTTAACCGCTAAGCCATGGGGTGGGCCCTGGGGAGGCTTTTTAGTGATTGTTTAGAGACCAGTTTTGGGGGTCACATATTCCTTTAAGAATTTGGTAAAAGCTGAAGACTCTTTCCTTAGAAAATACACTTGCATACACACATAAACACAGTTTTGCATGCAAGTTTGTTTCCCTTGAAGTATAAATGGAAGAAGACCCCAGATTAAATAGTCCTAACTTGGTTTAATCTCTTCTTTTTAAACAATTTAAAAAATTTTGCAATTCATTATTATTTTTCTTAAGACAGTTGTCCATGTCAGTTATATACATCTACCACATTTTTGCATAATAATGTTCGTTTATGTTTAACTCCCATTGGTAGAACTTTTGGACTATTTCCAAAAGTTTTTCTCTGTTACATTGTTGCAGTGAATATTCATATACAGGTGTCTTTGTACATTTGTACTAATATTTCTGTAGGATGAATTTTCAACAGTGAAATCACTCACTCAAAGGAGATAGATATATAACCTACGTACACATGTACAGATATGTATTTTTTTGTTACTTAAATTTGCATTTCTTTAATTATTAGTTATATTTTAATAGCTTCATTTATTGTTTACCAAATACCATGCTAGGTACGTGACCTCATTTATCTTTACACAACCCTATGAGTTTCAATATCTTTGCATAGATTTATGTAACATTTTAATTTCTTTTGTGAATTACTTGTTCATGTCTTTGGCATTTTTCTGATTGGTTGCTCATGTTTTTCATTGATTTAAAGAGTGTTTTTCTTGTCTTTTTTTTTGGAAGGAGGTGGGGTATATTAATGCTTTTATCCTTTAGCTCTCTTGAATTTTTTTAAATAGACTTTATTTTTTAAGAACGGTTGTAGATTTACAGAAAAATAGAGAAGAAAGTACAGAAAGTTCCCATTTACCCTGTATCCTTTTTCCTCTGTTCTTAACATCTTCCATTAGTGTCGTATCTTTGTTACAATTACTGATTCAATATTGATACATTATTATTAACTAAAGTCCATAGTTTATTCAAATTTCCTTAGTTTTTTAAAAAAAATTGTGGTAAAATATGCATGACATAAAATTTCCCATTTTAATCGTTTTTAAGTCTACAGTTCATTGGCATTAAGTACATTCTG